TGGCGGCTGTCAGCGTGCAGCTTTTCTCAGGAGACACAGAGTTATTTGTGAGTGGGCCCATACAGATCAACCTCAGCCTTCCTGACAACTGTGGACTTCAGACTTCAAATGTTGTTCCAGCTTGGTTCTTTAACCGGACCACTGGTGAGTAGAAGTCACAGTCATGCACACGCTTAACATTTTTGAAGAAGAATCAGGAGAGCCTCTTAAAAGAATGTTTTACCTTGCCGCCGTGGCCAAGTGCTCATGGTGGAAACTGTCGGGTCTCTGTAAATAATTTTACAAGCAGTACGGTCTAGACCTGCTCTATTTGAAAAGTGTCCTGAGATAACTGCTGTTATGAATTGCCGCTATACAAATAAAATTGAATTTAATTGAATAAGGTTTCATCTTCACTATCTTTGAGTCAAATACTGTATGCATCCATCAGTATAGACAAATATGAATATAAATAATGTTTAGTTTAAAAAGAAACATCATAGGACGTTGTGACTTGACTCTACATCTGCAGGGGAGAGTTTAACCTAAATGCAGAGCTCATGTCTTATTAGTGTCATGAATTTGTCTGAGTTAGATGGCTCTAAGGAGGAGTTCTGTTATACGACATATCTGTTCAGACTAGATAAGGAGGCTATCTTTACTTTGTTCAGTTCATCATGTTTTAACTGAGCTGACTCTGTGTTAATAGACTTATGAGTAAAAATCAACTTAGAATGAACAGTGTTTTGTTAATGTATTAATGACCCAGACGAGCAACTGGGTAAAGTGAGGTCTCCTGCACTTACACAAACAATGTATCAGTTTTTTTTAAAATGCTACTCATGTCCAGCTATCTTTGAATCAGTGGTTAAACATGGTTCTCAGTCATTTGAATGGTGTCAATGTGTACAATTTTTACATTTGGTGGGAAAAGCCTGACATTTATCTCCTGCTATGAAAAAGCTAGGTCCTCTCAAAATGTAGGACTTGGGCCCCTAACTTTGGTTCCTGTCCCATTTTCTAGTCTAGACAGACACAGTATTCTATGAGAAATACTGAAGCAGACATTAAAACGATCAGGCACATGTTAACCAGACCTCTCAGGTAATGATATCACAAACAGAGCAACTTGAATGACTGTCTTCAGCTTAAAGAATAATTTAATTCTTTTGAAAGCCTTACAGCTGCACTAGATTATAAAAATAATAATAATTTTTTCATATTTGCTGAAAATTTCACTATACTGTGGTGTTGTCACTATCCTTCAATATCCTGAATGTAGACAGATAATCTGTGAAAAACAAATCAGGTACCACTGGCACAATGCTCATACCTTTTTTTCTAATACTTACAGTAAAGATACAAATACAGTGTCCAAAATAAGTTACAGTAAATGTAACTCAGTAAACTATGAAATATTATTAAGTGATATTTATTTTTTGACTACAGTGTAATCTTTCCAATTTATTTTTTTATAACCCCAACTCATTATCATTTCTTTCATTTTAGAGTAATAGATTATGTGTAAATTACATAACAAGTACCTCTGGTGCCACCAGTACAGAGAGAATACAGTTAAGGCCACATGTGTAGGACCTGGTGCATATTTAATTAGATTTGTCACAGTTGACTGAATTTCAAAACCTTCAAAAGATCCAAGGTTGGCAAACTTTAATATGGGAGATAGATTAGGCTAATTAATTTTTCATTAGTTTCAGGACCCATCTCATTAACCTAGGCTGTCTTTGGAAGGGGTTGAGCACATTTATTTTAAGATCTGACAGGAGTGTGGTAGATTATTGGAAATTCAAGACAATTTTATACAAACAACATTGATGTGTTTGTTTTACCTACTGTAGGTGGATGGATGAGAAAAGGACTGGGGACGGTGGGGTCAGTGGGAGGAAAACTCATGTGGACATTCACAGCTCCTCACCTTGGTTACTGGATAGCAGCACCTCTGTCATCCACCAGAGGCAAGTGCTCACCCTAAAGATGTTAAAATACTGTAAATAAAATATAGTTTTTTTAATACTACCACTGAAATGTCATTGTAATCAGTAAACACATATCAGATAGAAATAAATGAATGACTGCTGTATAACCTACTGCATATGTTTATAGTTCATCCAAACTCCTTTTTAATACCATCTGTATGCTTTAGGTTTCTTTGGACTTTCCATCCCCATTGACTTCATCTTGCGGCATGCATCTTTCCTGATGGTTGTCCTTGGAGGAATGGTTGTTATTGTCATCTCTCTTCTGGTTGTTGTATTGTGTTATCGCAGGTAGGCTTTCATCTTACGCTAGTCCATATATACTAAAAGTTGGGGGGATGTTAATATGATTACTCTGAGTAGCATTTAAAAAACTTTCTGGTTTTGTTGCAAATCTCAAAATGTCTTCCCAGCTCACTGGGAGGACAAATAGAGCATATCTCAAAATATATCTTCAATTTTTAGAGCAACAAAATTCTTTATGGGCTGTCACTGAAGGTTATAATTCCTTGCAGCATAATCCTGCCATCTAAATGTATATCCAATATTATGAAGCATAGTTTCAGTTTCAGTTTTAGACAAAAGAATCGACTGTCACACGTTTCATTGAGCTGGCACTGTTTAAAGCAAATGTTCTGTCTTGTCTACAGAAGTTCGCTCAGTGAAGCTCAAACAAAGAAGATCCTACCAGTGATGAGAAAAGACCAGACCACCTCCACATGTGACGATGGAGTCTTTGACATCTCTTCAAGGGACTCCTCTCATCCACAGGATGGACCGAACCAATCATTGACAGAAATGGGGGATAATCGGCACAATGCCTCTGTTATTTCTATGCACAATGGCAACGTAATAGCCAACCCCAATGCTGTGGCCATTGCAGTGGAGTGTAACGAACTGGAGCTTAACACTGACCTGAATGATCTGATGTGTGGGCAGATAAGAGCTCCAGCCTCTCTGACAGAGAATTTGTTTTTCTACAACCAGCCTGTTGCCATTCTTCAAGCTCCAGCATTCTTCCACTTGGAGGAGCAGCCAGAGCAGCCCCAGTGGAGCAAGTCCGCCACTCTTCCCCGTGCAGGGGCTACAAACAGTGCTGCCACTGAGCCGCTGAACAAAGACAGCTTCACCCAGACTCTACCAAAAGGCCCCTCTGGCACCCAGAACCAGGCGGCAGAAACTGAGGACCAGCTTGGGGTTTTAGAGGGCTCACAGGCAGCAACCTCCACAAACACACCCAGAGGTCACTTCAACCTTCCAGAGTCAGTTTCTGTTCCAGGAACATTAAATAAAATGGGAGGCAGCAGACACTCAGTGCATGCCTTGGCAGAACTTTCTAAAATCCCCTCACTTCAGCCTCCTCGGGCCTGGTTTGTGTCACTGGAGGGCAAACCTGCAGCTGAGATCCATTACGCTGTGTCGGAGCAGCAGAGGAGACGAAGGCCAGTTGAGAGTCGAGAGACCAGCTTAGACTCAGGAGTGGATATGAGCGAACTGAACCCGACGTCTGGAAGGAGGGCTGTAACACTGGAACGCAATGCTACGTTTGTCAAAAGCACATCGAGCAGTAAACAAGCCCCTTCACAGTAAAAACTCTAATGCCTCCATACCTACAGCTCTTTAAGTTTGTTAATCAACAGCATCAGTTCTATCTATGATCTATATATGAAATAACCTATTTACCTTATTGCTTCATCTTTTACATACTAATGTTAAAGTGCCAATCGAAGTTGGAGGAACTGTTCTATCATCAGATTCCTCAGGGTCTACATTGCAGCTGTTATGCATGTACAAAAGCGTAAACAGTCGAAAGCAGAGCATGTGGACTTTACATCTAAAATATCATTCCTCATACCCATCCTGCTGTTTACCAGCCTGTCATATCTCTTATCTCCTGCCTCAACAGCCTGTTTTAACCAGAAACATGTCAAAGTTTGCAAGTGTTTAATGACGCTGATCATTTAAATACAGAGAGAATAATAGTCAGACACCTCCGTAATGAACAGTCATAAACTTTTATTCTGTCAAGATTAATCCACAGACTATCAGGGCTAACTCAACAGGACTGAATGTTCAGGAATTTTAACAACCGTTTGTATTTGTGCATATTATATTTGTTTTTACATGTTTCCATGTATATTGTGTTGAAGTGAATCATTTCATTATATTTTAATAAAAAATACCGTTGTATCTCTGACATTTTTCCAAATACGTGTATTTAAGGCCTCAAGGCCTAATACAGTCTAAAATGTGTTTTTTCACATAATTTTTTTAAATAAATCCAAATTAATGTGTTATTTGTTATTTGCATATGCTGAACAAGAATCTTGTGGAGTTTGCTTAAAATAATTTTATTTGAATTTTCAGAATTTGCCCATGTTAGCATCTAACTATTAAAAATCTCTAGTGAAAAATTAAGAAAGTAATGAAAGATGTATTTTAACAAAATAAAATAAGATTCAAGTAGAAAGTAAGTGTCCTGTTTTAAACAATCCTTGTCGTCATTCTAGTACAGATAATAGAGTTTACGAGGTGCACCTGAATTTACCATGCAGTTCCTGAGACCACCCAGTCCCTGCAGAGACAGCTACAGCACCTTGAACCTGTTTTTACAGGAAATATGTAATTATGCAGAAGCAAACAGCACTCTGATTTTCCATGTGGACTTTACAGATAAAAGCACAATAATATGTATATTGTAATAGCAGTATTTTTTTATATGATGTTATATTGAACATTTTCAGACAGCCTTGTGGTAAATGCAGAAGGTTTACAGAATCTACTATCATGTGATGCGTTCTGTTGATTGTGGCTGCTTTTTGTTTGCTTCCCTGTCCAGTAACTTTAGAACATTTCCACAAGTGGCTTAAGACATTTGTTTTACACTATATGCACTAATTATATAAAATATAACCACAGTCGATTCTGGATAAATGGTTTGAAGTTAGGGTTAGAAGAAGCTTCTGGTAGAGATGACAGCATTTACGAGGTACACATGAACGCACCATGACAAGTTCCTGTTAAAACCGCGCTTTTCTGAAGAGGATGTGAGCAGGGCCACAGGAATTCAGGAAGCAGCAAACTTGAGCTTCGTGTGGACTACAGCCAGAAACTTGAATATTCTATCCTTGGCTTCATTTTTATACCAGCAGCTTTTGTTCAACTACAGTGAGATAAGTTATAGGCAGTCAAGGTAGGTCGAAGAGCCCACATCTGTCTGTACATCTGTCTGTAGTTGCAGAGTCTGTACTCTCCAACTGCGCAGCTATCATGTTAGGCTACTGGTGATTTACATTTCTGCTTACATAAAAAAAAGGCTTTAATTCAATATACAGTACTGTGAAAACGTTTGTAGTCACTTAAAGATCATTTCAAGTTAAGGCATTTATGCAAGCAGTGGACATTGAAGTAAATGTGTTGTTTATTTGGACTTTTACGTAGAGAAAACACTGAAAGTCCAGGTGATATAAAAAATGTAATTGTAACCCTTTAAGACTGCATCCTCAGCCAGTTTGAGGACAGAGGTCATTCGTGGAGTTTCCAGATGGACTAAGTTGCTAAGTGAATCTAACCAACAGTAATGTAAACAAAAACCAGCCCTTTCCTGTCCTCAAACTGTCCTCCGTTGGCTTCCATTTTATGTGAACTTTAAAGATAAAAGCACAAGAACAGGCATATTGTAATAGCCGTATTTTCTTATATGATGTTATATTAAATATTTTCAGACAGCCTTAAAGCAGAGGATTTACAGAATCTACTACCATGGAAATGTGATGTGTCCAAACTTTACATGTCCACAAGAGGCTTAAGACATTTGTATTTTACTATATGCAATAATTACATAAAATATATCTACAGTCGATTCTGGATTAATGGTTTGAAGTTCCAGTATTTTTTTAGGGGCAGAAACAAATCCACAGTACTTGTCATGGCGCTGTTAAGGTCTTGAACTTTTGGAGAACTGAGTATTTTCTGTCTCATTGCAGATCATGGACTTCCCATGGCTGATGTCCTGGTTGGAGAGACTTTGGTCTTGGGTTGCGCCGTTTTTAGGTGACCTTCATTACATCTTTAAACAGTGTGAGGATATTTAATCTGTGAATGAATGAAGCAAAGCAGTGCATTAGAAAAGACCAGATAGTCGGGGAGCCAAAGTATCAAAAGCTCAATAAAATGGGTTGAACCTGACATGGTCTGCCATACTTTTTATTTGTGTTTTTTCTGTTAACTTTGACCCTAAGAACCGACAATTGGATGGTCTGCTCTGCCGGAAACATTGCGAAAAAAAATTGTGGCCATTTTAGTGTATGTACCATTTTTTATCAGAAAAATGTGAAAAATGTTTAGTTTTTTTTCAAATCCTCAGTGGGTTGGGTAAGCTGTCAATAAATGCATTCCAGATGTACAGAACACATGTGGTGACATCCAATAATCCAACATCCAATGAAAACTTAACTAAAACACAGCAAATACTGCCGCTGCAAGAAAAGCATGTGTGCCCGAGGATGCTCCTGTGCAAGAGCCAATGTGAAGTGTGGCATTGCATGTCTCTGCACCGGGGACCCCAAAAGATGTTCATGTGGACATTAACAACCATGTTAAATATCCAGTATGTCCTTCAGAATTTTGAGAGTAGCCTAAAATTCTATTGAGGTTCTGAGCCTGTTGATCGCCAACTAGCAGTGAAATCATCACAGATCCATTGATTTTGGTTGGATTTTTATATTTTTTTCTGTAGAATGAGTATACTGTTTTGGTTAGAATGGCATATTGACTGATGCCATAACTTGGGGGAATAGTTGATTGCCAATGAAGTAAAGATGAAAATATTGGGAAAAAGTGAGAAAACGCCTAATTTGTTTGCATCTTTTTAAAATAATTAAAAATGGAGGAGAGCCGAACACTGACAGTGAAACTCAGTCTGTAGGATTCCTGTATACTGCTCTCATCTGAGCCTCAGCATGTATTTGGCTTAAATAAAGCCAGAAGAAGTTTCTGAAGGACAGTGCCACATGATTTCTGATGACTGTTATTGATATTTACAGGACGACAACCTCAAGTAGCGGTGACTGATAGTACCGGTGTTGTTACCACCAGAGAACTAAAGGGTAAACAATCAAAAGGCCTCAAAATGACGATCGAAACAGTGAGTGATCCAGATAATCGTGCAGGTGAGCATTGATATTTTCAAGTATTTCCAGCCATTTGAAATCAAATGAAAGCTGCTCCTGTTTCAAAAGTAAAACCCTTTCAAAATTATTTTTGTTTGAGCATCTTGAATGAATTCATTTTTTTTTTCTTGTTCAGGGAAGGATGTTGGACAGGCTTCCCAAGCAACTTACAGTGCAACAGGGGGCGGCGTCATATGTGCTGACAAAATAGCTATCGACACTATTGACGGCGATATCGATCTGTCAATATCTGTGAAAAAATCAAACTAGGTGCAGAACATTTTGCCAAGGATCACTCCTTTATCCTGTGAATGCTTAAAAACAACGCTAAAGCCAAAAAAAACTGTTATTAACCTGAATGATGTGATTGGATTTATTTGGATCTCTTTAAGCTCATTGGCTAATCTTCCAACAGTCCACATTAAAAACATTTAAACATACAATCCATAGATAATTTGCACACAATTGAATTGTCGCTGCACACATTATCATATACACACACACACACACACACACACACATATAACCTACACTGGCACATAGTACAATAGTGTAATGAAAACTACATATTTCAGTCGACAATCGATTGCAATCAAAAGCGATGTGAAATATTTTTTAAAGGTCAAGAATCCTACTCTGATGTTCTGAAGACTTATCTACGGCTCAAACAAATGACCAGAAAAGGATACTAAGCAGGAGTGATACGAATTTATTCTGTCTGTGCATTATTTGGTTCATGCCAGTTTTTATAGTCAAAATAGAAACATTTTTAAAATCTTATTCCTGTTTTTTTAGAATAGATCACACCCAATAATGTTAAAAGTAACATTTGGAAATAATGTTCTCTTATGAAATTAAATCTTTGCAATTATGGAAAAATAAAAATCCCATTTTCATTACAGACTGAAGGTTTCATCTGTTATCTGTCATTGGGAGTCGTGTTGATGAATTCCAAATGGATTTAACATGAATCGACTGAAGCACATTATGTAGTTGAGAGCAGGCTGCTGCACACTATCTACCGAGCCACTAGAGGTCGCAACTGTACAAGTTTTGATTTTGATTGTTTGGGTTTGCCATGGTAATGAAATTTGCAATATAGCACAGTAAACTTAGATAACATCCAATTCAATGACCATTGAGTTTAAATTATGATTCAACCTTTAAAAACTTTTACCTTTCAGCCTATTGAATTCTAAGTGTTAACTATGGGGACATAAACATGAATAATACAATACACAGACTAACAGTTTCAGCCCCAGCCACACACATACACACAGACTGCTTACATATGCTGTTAATCACGAGTCAATTAGTTTGAGAAGATAAAATTAGCTCTTAAAACTACACATGATTGTAACTTTGACTTTCTCCAATGGTTAAATATTAAATATCAGGGGGAAACAACAGGCATATTTGATTTAATTGGGAAATAAATCAGATTAACCTTAAACTGATTTGAGATCAGTGTCAGATGTTGTGTCTCAATCAGTAAACTGTATCCTCAATGGATTGACATTTATTGTTGGATCACAGCCAACTGCTTCAGCTACATACTGACAAGTGAATATGATTGTTTTGACTTACTTGCGACCCCTCCTCTCTGCCCTGGAAAGAGGCCTTGAGTACCTGGCTTTGGACCAAGGAGCTTTGGTTGTGTGGAGTAAGAGTGCCGAGGCATGGTGGCTGGAGGATCTACTTGGAATGGAAACAGTCTGACGCACTTTGTAGATCATAAAACGGCAGCAGGATTAGCGCTAGCCTATGGGGGACAGTGAATGACAAACACAATCTTACCCCTAATGTGAACTGAACTTGCTTTTTTTAACAGAGCTGTGCATTATTTGTCGGGGGAACTGTCAGAATCACATCCCAAAAAGTGTTTCTTCAGTCTTATGTGTTGCTTGCTCCCAAAAGATGTACAATGAACCGCAATTGACATGTTTTCTTTGTCAACTTCTAGTGATGAAAGAGTACTCCATGGAATTAGCATTGCACTCTCAGCACTGTCAGACTCCGATGCGGCAGGACCAGAGATATCGTATTATTAAACCTGACACATTACACACGAAGCAACTCGACCACCGACAGTTCAGAGATTTGTGTGAGTTATGCTAACTGGGGTTTACTTGTACTGTGGTCGACTCTGACTCACGTGACATCACTTGAGTCAATTATTCAGACTTCACACAGCGCTGTCTGCAGTTACAAAAGGTTTCATACAACTTTTTCCATGTGCAGTAAAACTCCCCAAGGCCTGTAAACAGACTTTGATTTATAAAGAATATATATAGAATATAATTCAACGTTGTTTGTTGTTCTGAATTAGTTAAAAATGACCTAAACCACACCTGAGCTAATATAACAAGCAGAGGTTGTGATGAAGAGGACATTCTGACAGTGTGACTTTCCTTGACCAGCCATACCTTGTCAAATAACATTTTAAAATAAAAGCCATCATTCTACCTATTAATAAACCAGGCATTCCATCCATAAATAAAGATGTGTCACACACTGTAATTTGTTGTGGACCAAGGCCTAGTGCACTGGTGACACCAAACATCAGAATGCATTCGGATGCCCTATTGTTCTACTTTCTCGCTGCCACCTCAACATGGGGGACATTTTTCACATGCCACTGCACTGCCAAGCTTTCGAAACGTGAACCCCCGCCAGGCCAGACAGCGAATGCAACCCGGCGGAGAAAAGGGGGTATCTGTTACACAGGCAAGAGGCCAGCTCAACAGTATTTGTTTTAACAGCAGGCTATTAGCAGGCATGCTTGTCTTGTGCATTTACAAGGGTTTCTAATCATGTCAAAACCCCTCCTCAGTAGTAAAGATAAAAGGTTGGATTTTTCAATTAATTGAGACTGTAAAGTATCAAAACTGAAGCTGAGTGCAAAGGCTGAATATCACACTGCTTTGAGAGTCACACTAAAAGCGCTGATACGTTTTCATGTAAATGTACAAACTCCTGCGTGTGAAGACATACAGTATACTGATGAAAATAATAATATACACAATTTACCCTCATAAGGGTTGTCTGGTTGGTTGGGAAAGAGATCTTTAGGAACACAAAACTACAACTGGTATAGGAAGTATAGTGTATTCAGGGAGGAAGGGAGATTATTATTTAATTTGTTGAAAGTCAGAACTAATTCTCTTGCATTTACTGCACTTCAATGCGTTCCCCACAACTTAAAGCTGCAGTAATCAATATTTTTTAATTTTATAAATGTTTTTATTGAGTGGATCACAACTGCTTTATGTGAAAGAACTCTGCAGTTCCTCTCAGCACCACTAAGAGTTTTTACTTTAATATCTTTTTATTCATTGTTTCGGTTTTACAGCTAACACATTTACTGATTCACTCTCACCGCTCACATCATCATCGTTTCCGGGTGCAGCTGTTTTCAGTGAAAAAAGCTCTGATAAGCACATTGTACACTACCTGCCCAGCACCAAACAAATGATAGTTAGCGACTAGCTGGTGGAGCATTTAGCAACTAAAAGAGCCGGACTTTCCTCACGAGTTGGTGGAGAGAGAAGGAGAGAGAACGTTGCACTCGCATTCATCAGGTGGCCAGAAACACAACTCCAAATGTATGCTAATGTTGCCGTAACACATTCACTTTTAAAAGGTTTTTACACTTAACCACAAGCCAAAGTTAATGGTTAACCTTGTGGGGACCAACTCTTTATGCTTCAAAACTGCGGAAAGTCCCCATAACCTTACTGTGTGAACAGACCTCCCACAACATGAGTAATTACAAGCACCATAATGATGAGTCGTAAAATACATTTCCTCACAATTTGGTCAACAAGTTACTCTCCACAAACCACAAATCCACACAACTTTATCTCTCTCTCTGAGTTCATTTATTGTTGTGAAAGCCTGCTGTGGACCTGCCACGGCAATAATTTACCTCCTGATAGATTTCAGCTGTGTGAATGAATGTAGTTAGATTACCAGCTTCATTTCATCCTATCACATGTAAACTGAAAGATAAGTTCAAAGTTGTCTTGGTTGATGAGAACACTGACACCAAGCTACATCCTGGTGGATGCTTTAAATGTTTATCAGCCTAAGAGATAATCTTAAGAGAATGGAAGGTTATGTAGTTCCTGGCTGGGTTTGGAGACAGTAAATTGGTTTGACAGGTTTCACTTTCTGAATGTATAAAGTAAAATTATTACATTTAATAATATTTTTTATTATAGTATGCATTAGTTTAAAACATCTCTTTAACACACACTTCCTTTGCACACACAAAGCACACCAGTCCCCAAGTTGTCCCAAAATAGCACCTCTTGGCGTAAATGGTTTCTGAAATAGCCTGGAGTTGAAAAGGGATAGACATTGATACCCTGAGAGGTTGTTGGGTCTCAAGTGTCATCTCACTTCTTTCATTTTGTCTGTGTCACACATACATATAGAACTGCTGGGCTTATAGGTTCTCATTCCCAATGTCTGTAGAGTAGACAAAGGTTTAAAGGCCAGTGTTTCAGCTCATTTCCTCCTGAGGAACAAACAGAAGTGATGGGTTAGAAACTACTTTATAGACATGTGTACAAAACATGCACAGGACATCCTATAGGTTGATTGCAGCATTCATTAATCAGGCCTGTGTCACCTGTGTCTCTACCTGTCTTCACTTTTTGCCATATTAACACAAGCCTTTTTTTTAAATATATAACTATGCAGTGACCTATTTTTAATTTACAGTACAGTAAACTTATAAAAAACAAAATAAAAAGGTAAAAACCCAATTGAATGCAGTAAATAAATATAATTAGCTGTAATTATGAACAGTTGGATGTGATTAATCAAATTCTTACTGCTACAGTTGGCTTAGCTCTGCGGTTCTCAAAGTGTGGGGCGCGCCCCACTGGTGGGACATAGAGACTTGACAGGTGGGGCGCGCCAAACAGGAGGAAATTTTCCTTTTTATGCCTTTATATCTTTATCCAAACATCCCAACTGTCCCGAATAGTGATAGCTGCTCCTTGACGCCCGCAAATGAGATCAAATCTCCCGGAATCTGGAGCAAGACCGCGCACTAGACTAGAGAGTGACTGCGCGCGTGTGTGTTTGTGTGACTATAAATGCAGCGCGTGTGAGAGCAAACCGTCCTTATAGCTGTGTGTTGCCGCTTATTAGACCGATCAACCCCGGGGGCGACACCAAGTGTAACAGGAATTCCCGTCCCCACCCCCCTGGACGAACCTCCCTGAAATGACTTTTTGCAGGTTGGGATGTCTGCTTTATCAATGCCTTTCTTTAATGACAGCAAAGATCATACATTCAAAACAAAACACCCACAAACAAAGTAATCATTACTAGCCTACATGCAGTCTAAATTAAAAGAACATTAGATATGAGACCCCGAGAAAAATTTATGTATGTATTATAATCTATTTTTGAACTTGATACAAATTTTGACACAGCTGCACTTTTATTTTCTTTATTTTTGAATTTCATGTAAGTTATGACACACTGCACTTTTATGTTTTTTATTTTTGAACTTGCTGTTATGATGTATTTAGTTTGGATTTAGATACAACTTGTTACTATACTGATACTACTTGTTACTTCAATAAATTGGAAAACATTTTAAGCTTGTTGCCTATTTTATTAGCATTGTGTTGGGGTGATGGGGGCAGGTGGGCCTTGAAAATCCCCCTTGTCCATAGTGGGGTATGACCGAAAAAAGTTTGAGAACCACTGGCTTAGCTCAACACACGATAAGGGTTTGAGGTCAAGATGCTGGAATTTGAGGTCACTGTCTCCAAGGCAGTCTGTTGGTCAAGTATATGTAGGAAAATCTTAATCCTCTGTTGGCTTACACAAACACAGGAAACAAACTCATAAACTTAAGTAACTGATAAAGAAAGATCCCA